TACGTGAGTATGTCCAAAATTCTTTCGAAAGAGAGTGACACATATCTGTCCTCCCTCCGCATGATCCTGACCATCTTGCAGCACTCGCCGCTTATGCTGACCTTCACACCGATCAGGCCCCGATCTTTGTGCATCTGCACGAGTCAGTGCACCGAGGAGATGATATCATCATGGGGGAGCTTTGCAAACATGTCGTTTATGTCATAGTTCCTCTCCATGATCATATCACCCACCTTTTTTTATCCTGGCAACAACATTCTTCATCGCGTCCCGAAGGTGATCCTTTGACTTGAGGCTAAAGTGGTAAGTTGCCGGGACGCATAACAACATATATCGAAGTGCTACGCCCAATCTGGCACTCGCAGTTCGTGAAGGTTCTGACCATGATGGTGAAATCGGCCTCCACCTTGAGTAGTCTTTGTCCTTGGGAATAACATATGATCTCCCGAGTCTTCCACACGTCCACCAAGTGGCCACCGAGTCTAGCCCCAACTTCTTGTAAGCACTCCTCCTTTTCGACCATGGGGACAAACCCAGGGTTCGAGCAGAAAGTCATGCAGAACGCATGAAAATATAGTACGGGACATACTACAAGCGTAGAGCCCGGATTCCTGTCAAGAGGAACCAAGACCAGATTTTGAAGATGCTTCTCCAACATCAGCTTATAGTTATGTATGATGATGGCTACCGCCCTGCCTTTCAGTTTTACGACCCGCAGTCTCTCTACCACAAGAGACCGTATCGCCTCATCATGTACTGACCACGAGATGATCTTGAATACGACATTCCTGATTGCACCCACACTAACCTGCATAGAAAAGGGAACTCGCACGACCACTCTCCTCCTAATTTCAACGCCAAACTTGGCCTTGATCACAAGAGTGTCGAGCTAATCTCTGACGCAATTCACATCTAGTTCCACTGATTGAGAGCAGTCCAGTTGTCCGATATAAGGCGACCATCTTTCTACTGGATAGTCGCGGCAGCAGCCTGATCCGCCACGGCTGAGCTAGGAGATCACAAAGAAAATGTTTGTAACTCCGAGTCCCAGATGACGTGACGACTAACGTCATGATCCGAAAACGACCACCTTTCTGAATGCTTTCCTTAGCACTCCTCAGTTTTAACCTCGCTTGATTGATGACGACCGTTGACTCACCATATCTTTCTTGGACTTTCTTCCAAGAATCTAACCAGTACGAGTCAGTCTCCGCCTCCAATTCGATTGAGATCTTCGTTTCATGGAGAGGTTCTAGCAAAGAGATCAGCGAAGCATGTCACCTTCCTTGTTATGTGAAGATTATCGTCCCCTCCAGTTGCTGTTGACCCTGTGTCCGCCTTTGTCTAACACCTTTCGGACGTTTTTTCTTCCTCTTATATCTCTGTCTGATTGTGTTAAGCGATGGTGAGGACCGGGCTATCAGGGTATTCTCAACCGCCACCACGTCCAGTACTCCTGCTACCAGCGGTAGAACTACGTAGTTCTGCCATCCAAAGGATCTAAGCCATGAATGTAACCGGGGAGCGTTCCCTGCACTACCATTTAAGGAACATCTTACATGCTCGAACCATCGTGTAATTATCTTTCTAACAGTGCAACCGATATAAAGCCGCCTACAACACGGGCTCACAATGGCATACACTCTTGAAAAATTGACATCTAATCTTTCAAAATTGACAAGCTTCACCGGTTTCCTGATCCAGGGAACATGTCCCTTGATTGCTAGTAGTAGTACAAGAAGCGCCAACTCATTTTCATCCGCTTTAATCATTAATGGTTGTACCCCCAACAGTTGCATCTTCGTCCTTTGTTCAGTTAGTACACGAAATCTATTGGCGGCGTCCCGTGCCGTAGTCACGAGCGCCATCAAGGCGCATCAAGACCAGTGGCCTGTCCCTTTGGAGTGGATGGCGTCGTACTTTTTTTCTCAAAAAATCCTTCATAAGCTAATCTAGTACGACACCTCACTAATTCCTGAATGGTCACGTCCTTCTTAACGTAATCTATCCGCTCTTTATCGCAAATCTTACGGATTCTATGAGCTTTCATCCCACTCAAATTTTTTGTCTGTGTCAATGTAAACTCCACCGGTCCCTCACAGGAGCATTGAGCAAGACCCACCTATGTAGGAGTCTCGAAGCTATCGTCGTTATTCATCGGTGTCACCTCTGTAGAAGCTTTATCCTTCCTTGGAGTAGGTACCTTTCTCCCGACTCGACTGGCTGCTGCTCTCACAAGAGCGGTCCCTTTCTTCGTCTTCTTACGTCTTTCCAGTGCTTCTACTAACTTCTCTGCCTCCTCTCTAACTTCTTCACTATCATCCTTCGATTCCGCTATATAGCTCCTCATATCTCGTAATATTCGTGCTTTGGACCACGGTGATCGCTTCCTTGATTCGTGTGTTGCCTGAGAAAGAGCTACCACCATAGCATCCTTCCTCTGAGAGAGAATGTGAAGAATCGTAGCCTCAAGCTTCGCTTCTCTCGCCTGTTATTCTCG